GGGGCCCCCCTGCCACACCTGCTGATAAGGGCTCTGGTAAAGCTTGGCACGGGACACTGCCTGCTGCAATCAGAGTGACCAACAAATTCTGCTTCTTTCAGAAAGGCTGTCGCTGTAGCTGCCCTTTGCCTTTGTTGGGATGGTTCATCTACAAAAAAAAGGGAAGGTTCCTGTCCATGGAAGCGGACATGGCCCATTCTGGAAAGAATTATGGTACCAAAGGGAACAGCCACCTGGAAGGATGCTCAAGGGAAGAGTCCTGAGCATAGTGAAATCCATCCCAGGCAGACAGCAAAAAGGGCCCTAGTTTTCCTGCTGGGATAAGCGTGCTGCAAAGTATTGCCGTGGGCGCACTAGGGAAAAGGAGATCTCCCTTTGACTCTGTGAACTGGAACAAAGCTACAGAAATCGCCTCTACTTGGTATGTCGTGATGAACATCTTCCCTCCCACCCTGTGCCACCAAGCAACCCCCTCAACAGACAACCCCTGCGCTGGGAGCTCTGAGCATCCAAAAGTCGCCAGCCAGACCTCTGCCCCCAGGCCATAAAGCAGGTGAATTTAAAATGTACTTTAAATGAACCCTTTCTTATAAAAATGGATGAGATGGATGGATCCCCTGGAGAAGCCCCGAGCAGAGCACAGGGCTGGGACTGTCGTGCCTTTGTGTTCTGCCAAGAGTCTCTCTGCCGTCTCACAGCGTACAGGGATGCTTACAGCGAAGGCTCGTGGGGTCCTGGCTGAGGTCACCCTGCCATCCCTGCTGGCACCTTCGGGGCTGCATCTGCCTGACTGTGAGCTCGGGACCACTGCCCGACTGTTGTAAACAGCCTCTGGGCCTGCCCAGCATAGCAGGTTTCCTTAAAATGTCTGTGGCTGACTAATCTTAAAACTAAAAAGCCCCTGGAAATCTTTCACAGGGAGCTTAATCTCATGCATTTTCCTCCTGTCGGTTGATAACTGCCTCGTGGCACTAGCACAGTTGCTGGGGACGATGTGAAAAGCATTTTGAAGGAAACACTTGCCAGGATGGGACGATGTTCTCCGGCAGGGACACCACCAGTGCAGGAGATGCTGCTGCCCACAGCAGTGAGCGAGGAGGAGCCGTGTAGGCTGGGGAGGGACAGGGCTGAGGGAGAAGGAAGGAAAGAAAAGGCAAAGCTCAACAAGCCCCAGGAGTTGTTCAGCCTTTGCTGCTTCTCTTGGTTTGGCATCTCGCCTCACGCCTGGGATGGGCATTTGAAACTGCCCTGGTGGGATGGTGCATCCGAAGTACCGCAGGACTGATGCCACCAGTTCACCAGTCCACTCTGCTAATAAAGAATCTGGAAGCTGTGTCCGCAGAGCAATTTGCTGACGTTACAGCCTCCTCATTTCTTACGTCTGTATTAACTAAGAGAGCACGTGCACGAACCAGTTTGCACACATAGCAGAACTAGAGTTGCAATTAGAGAATTTAGTTTGAGGTCAGGTCAGCAGTTACAGCTGAAGGCAGAGCTCGGTACCTGCCTGTACCACAGGCTTCTTGCGTGACTTTAAGTGCATCAATGCATCCTACAGGGCACCAGGACCCTGTTTGCAAAGTTAATCTTTGACAGCCTCCCCTGTTAGTAGGAAACACCTTGGATTGAGATGCCCTGCCAAGTAGGAGGGTGGAAAAAGTCACAACTTTCAAATTTATAGTAATTGCTGGGAGTAATGGTATTGACCAGAGGTAAGGCTTGAGGAAGTTATCGACAGTTTTGTTTGGAGCAGGCAGATAAGAGACAAGATAGTGCTCTTCAGATTTGTACAGATGGTTGCCAAGAAGAAGACAAGAGGACAGACTTCATCCTGCACGCAGTGAGAGATCATCCCTGCGAGGCTGGTTCTTAGGGCTGAATTATTTCATGTGAACAAGCAATCTGATCAAGACGGCTCTACCATCAGTAGAAATGCTGCTTTTCCAGGTCAGCTTATTTCTGCTGGTGTATGAGGTATGCTATATATCAAAAGAACTCTTTTTTCTGGTATAAGTGGTGTTGGCACAGAAGGATTTGTCAGTGCTAGTGCCTGATATAGCAAAAACATCCAACTTGTGCCATACAGACAGGGTTTTATTGCATGTTTCTGCTAGCAGTCTGAAAAAATAAGCATGGTTCCCTATTTGGTTCTGCCTTTTATTTGGTGTACGCCCCATTTCTGATTTGGTCAGGGTCAGAACTGTGCCCGAAAGCCACCCAGTTATTAGACTAAGGGACAGTCATCAGCCCCATACAGTAAGGAGGCATTCAAAATCTAGAATAAAATGAATGCTGTGTTGTCCTCTTCCTGGAGGGCCAGCAGATAAAATTAACATTGGACTGGTTTTGCACAGTATAGCCTGGTCCTAGACTCCTGCTGGCATCAGGTGCGACTGGCTGTCAACATGGGTGATATCTCTGGCTTGTAGTCCTCATGGGACTAACGCTAAGGACTACAGGGTAACACCGTGCTCTTGAGATCCGTAAGTCAGAGTCATG